GCAAGCTTCACTGGGAAGGTCACGGGTAGTAGGCATACTTTGGATCTTGTCCCAGGCTATCCCGGCGTAGTGGGCAATTTAAAAAAAGACAGGTTGGCTAGATCTACAGCACTGGGTGGTGAATTGATACATGGCAATGCCGTTTGGGAACAAGCAAAGGAATTAGTAGAGAAACAAGATCATTATAGCCTGGAGAGAATGCGACACCTGGGTGTGATCAGAGGGTCTGGCCGGCCCACTACACTCAGAGGAAAGGCAAGACGGACATATTACCAGATTGTGACTGGTACCGTTAGTATTGGAACTCTGCGCTGGCTGCAGAAGATGAGGACAGACCACGCATGGGAATGCCCTGAGTGATGTGATGTCAATTCTTGACAACTGAACTCAACTTAGTTAGTTAGTTAGTTAGTTAGTTAGTTAGTTAGTTAGTTAGTTAGTTAGTTAGTTAGTTAGTTAGTTAGTTAGTTAGTTAGTTAGTTAGTTAGTTAGTTAGTTAGTTAGTTAGTTAGTTAGTTAGTTAGTTAGTTAGTTAGTTAGTTAGTTAGTTAGTTAGTTAGTTAGTTAGTTAGTTAGTTAGTTAGTTAGTTAGTTAGTTAGTTAGTTAGTTAGTTAGTTAGTTAGTTAGTTAGTTAGTTAGTTAGTTAGTTAGTTAGTTAGTTAGTTAGTTAGTTAGTTAGTTAGTTAGTTAGTTAGTTAGTTAGTTAGTTAGTTAGTTAGTTAGTTAGTTAGTTAGTTAGTTAGTTAGTTAGTTAGTTAGTTAGTTAGTTAGTTAGTTAGTTAGTTAGTTAGTTAGTTAGTTAGTTAGTTAGTTAGTTAGTTAGTTAGTTAGTTAGTTAGTTAGTTAGTTAGTTAGTTAGTTAGTTAGTTAGTTAGTTAGTTAGTTAGTTAGTTAGTTAGTTAGTTAGTTAGTTAGTTAGTTAGTTAGTTAGTTAGTTAGTTAGTTAGTTAGTTAGTTAGTTAGTTAGTTAGTTAGTTTTTAGTTAGTTAGTTAGTTAGTTAGTTAGTTAGTTAGTTAGTTAGTTAGTTAGTTAGTTAGTTAGTTAGTTAGTTAGTTAGTTAGTTAGTTAGTTAGTTAGTTAGTTAGTTAGTTAGTTAGTTAGTTAGTTAGTTAGTTAGTTAGTTAGTTAGTTAGTTAGTTAGTTAGTTAGATTTTAGTTAGTTAGTTAGTTAGTTAGTTAGTTAGTTAGTTAGTTAGTTAGTAGTTAGTTAGTTAGTTAGTTAGTTAGTTAGTTAGTTAGTTAGTTAGTTAGTTAGTTAGTTAGTTAGTTAGTTAGTTAGTTAGTTAGTTAGTTAGTTAGTTAGTTTAGTTAGTTAGTTAGTTAGTTAGTTAGTTAGTTAGTTAGTTAGTTAGTTAGTTAGTTAGTTAGTTAGTTAGTTAGTTAGTTAGTTAGTTAGTTAGTTAGTTAGTTAGTTAGTTAGTTAGTTAGTTAGTTAGTTAGTTAGTTAGTTAGTTAGTTAGTTAGTTAGTTAGTTAGTTAGTTAGTTAGTTAGTTAGTTAGTTAGTTAGTTAGTTAGTTAGTTAGTTAGTTAGTTAGTTAGTTAGTTAGTTAGTTAGTTAGTTAGTTAGTTAGTTAGTTAGTTAGTTAGTTAGTTAGTTAGTTAGTTAGTTAGTTAGTTAGTTAGTTAGTTAGTTAGTTAGTTAGTTAGTTAGTTAGTTAGTTAGTTAGTTAGTTAGTTAGTTAGTTAGTTAGTTAGTTAGTTAGTTAGTTAGTTAGTTAGTTAGTTAGTTAGTTAGTTAGTTAGTTAGTTAGTTAGTTAGTTAGTTAGTTTAGTTAGTTAGTTAGTTAGTTAGTTAGTTAGTTAGTTAGTTAGTTAGTTAGTTAGTTAGTTAGTTAGTTAGTTAGTTAGTTAGTTAGTTAGTTAGTTAGTTAGTTAGTTAGTAAGTTAGTTAGTTAGTTAGTTAGTTAGTTAGTTAGTTAGTTAGTTAGTTAGTTAGTTAGTTAGTTAGTTAGTTAGTTAGTTAGTTAGTTAGTTAGTTAGTTAGTTAGTTAGTTAAGCGACATAACATCCACATTGCACATCGGAAAAGTTCATAAGCACTCGGAATACATCTTCGGTACATCCTTCAGCGTGTGATAACACCAGTTCTGTATGGTTAACTATTCTTCTGTGGCCGTTTGGCTTTAAATCAGAATTTAGTCAGTAAAGCCAGCAACGAGAGCGTACAACATGAAAGCAAAACCTATAAGAGATAGGGAACGAACACGAAGAAGACGGGTCGAGGGAGTCATTGATACCTTCAGACTCCACAACTTAACGGCATACCAGTTCCAATTGCAGTCTAATTGTATATCCGTCTCACTTTTCCCTCGAGAGCTGATGGTCGACCAGATGCCCTGGTCAATCTTCGCAGTACCAGTCTCTTCAGTTGATGATTACCCATCTGTGTTTCCGCACCTTTCACTCGCCCCCAAAGGGCTCTTACTTTTAGCTAATACGTGACAGTAAAGGAGATAGAAGGATGAGACCAGACATAATAACTAACGTGACACGGAAATAAGTATACAAAGAAGAAGAAGAAGAAGAAGAAGAAGAAGAAGAAGAAGAAGAAGAAGAAGAAGAAGAAGAAAAAGAAGAAGAAAAAGACAAAGAAGAATGAGAGGAAGAAGAAGAAAGAAGAAGAAGAAGAAGAAGAAAAAGAAAATGAAGAAGAAAAAGAAGAAGAAGAAGAAGAAGAAGAAGAAGAAGAAGAAGAAGAAATAGAAGAAGAAGAAGAAGAAGAAGAAGAAGAAGAAGAAGAAGAAGAAGAAGAAGAAGAAGAAGAAGAAGAAGAAGAAGAAGAAGAAGAAGAAGAAGAAGAAGAAGAAGAAGAAGAAGAAGAAGAAGAAGAAGAAGAAAAAGAAGAAGAAGAAGAAGAAATAGAAGAAGAAGAAGAAGAAGAAGAAGAAGAAGAAGAAGAAGAAGAAGAAGAAGAAGAAGAAGAAGAAGAAGAAGAAGAAGAAGAAGAAGAAGAAGAAGAAGAAGAAGAAGAAGAAGAAGAAGAAGAAGAAGAAGAAGAAGAAGAAGAAGAAGAAGAAGAAGAAGAAGAAGAAGAAGAAAAGAAGAAGAAGAAGAAGAAGAAGAAGAAAAAGAAGAAGAAGAAGAAGAAGAAGAAGAAGAAGAAGAAGAAGAAGAAGAAGAAGAAGAAGAAGAAGAAAAGAAGAACAAGAAGAAGAACAAGAAGAACAAGAAGAAAAGAAAAGATGGACAAGGAGGAGAACAAGAAAAACAACAATAACAGCAATAATAAGGAGAAAAACAAAAAGATAAAAAAAAGCACAGAAATGACAAACACACATACACACACATAAACGCACATATAAATACAATTCAAACAACAAAGAGTACAACAACCGCCGCAATAATCAAAACTTAGGAAACAGCCGTTACAGACGGGTATCTAAACATGTAACATTCTAATCATGCGCAAGGAGAAACAGACACACAAGTCAGATTGGGTGCATGATAACCTTGGATGTGTACAATGTCTAGCTACATTGAGACCACATAATCATCACTGGCATTTGGCGAAAGCTGAGAAGACAACTGGGAATTCGAATACAAAGACATCATATAGAAATATTGTATAAAAGCCATCTTGTGAATATGAACCCCCCACCTCAAACCCCTTTTGTTCCCTATAAAGTTATCGGATTCGCAATAACACATAAAAGACAGTATACGCTGTGTGTTTGCAAAAATAAAGACATTGTATATGACATACAGAAATATGGAGGGGGGTAACGGGAAGCAGTGAGAGGGTGCGATAAAGGAGTGGAAATAACGGGCAAGCAAGTTCAGAAAGAAGAGGGAAGGAGGGGGGGGGGAGAAGGATGAAAGACAATGCGCGAGAATAACTGAGTAAATGGGCTGACAACGTGTGGCTGAAACAACCACATCAGAAACTGAGGGGACAAAGAATGGAAAAAAGTGTAGAACAGCTAGATATACATCTATTCTCGTAATAAAGAAGTGTAAAGAAATTGTAGAGCAGCGGGAACACAAGTCATACAGACAGACCATAAGACAGACCACAAGACGGCGGACCACGACACAGACTATAAGACAAACCACGAGACAAACAGACCACGAGACAGATACAGAGACCAAGTGACAGCTGGACATACCACGAGAGAGATTGCCAGACCACGAGACAGATAGGAAGACAGATCGTGTGACAGATAGACAGACCATGAGACAGACCACGAGAGAGATAGAGAGACCACGTGACAGCTGGACAGACAACGAGACAGATCGTGTGGCATATAGACAGACCATGAGACAGACCACGAGAGAGACAGACAAATCATGAGATACTGTGATGACAGATAATAATCACATGCACGTGGGAGTGACGGATGGAAAGAGAGGGTGACATTGGTGTACAGTCGAACAGAAAGATAGACAGGGAGTTTAATGCTGACTCACAAATTATTCTTTGCTATCTAATTCCAGTTTTTCGCTTGAGGCGCTATTTCAGACCACCCCCGCAGTGCAAGCTAGCTTGTTTAAACACTGCGGATTCCAGAATCCGTTCATCAACGTTTAAGTGGGCAGATGATTTCGGCTGAAAATCCGGACATTATATCTAATTGGAGATGTTGAAGACTGGGGAAGGGTAGGGGACGGAGCTCTCTGCAGGCAGGACCCATAGAAGTCAATGAGGCAAATACCGTGCACGTTTTTACGTAGGCCAAGGGCGGGATATATAAAAGCAACAATATGTACAAGGATAAATTTAGTTTTGTTCCCGTTTAGGTCGTTTGGGTTTTAGTTAGTTTCGTGCAGTCTATCTCAACCTTTCTAATGCCGCAACCCTTTAATACAGTTCCCTCATGTTTTGCCCCCCCCCCCCGTTTTTAACCACGCCAAAAACAATTATTTTTCCTTCATAACTTCAATGAATATGTGGTTTCCGATTGTCTTTGGTGACCCCTGTTAAAGGGTCGTTCGGCCCAAAAAAGGGTCGCGTCGGCAGGTTTAGAACTGTTGATTTATTGTTTTTTTTCCAATAAGAGGGATGAATCAGAGATGGAAAAAAACCGAGAGAGACAATCAGACAGACAGAACGAAGGGTAAATATCGAGAGAAATCTAAGACACAGAGACAGAGAGAGAGAGAGAGAGAGAGAGAGAGAGAGAGAGAGAGAGAGAGAGAGAGAGAGAGAGAGAGGGAGAGATATGGAAAGGGGCAGAAGAAGAAGATAGACAAACACGTATATATACAGACATTAGTTAACATATAAGTAAAAGTGAAGCACCCCTTGCATGCCTTCTGGCCTAGGGGGTATATAGGGCTAGACCTATATTTTGTTGACCAAACGGCACATGGTGGAAGGTGATGTGGTCATCATCACACCGGCCGCCTTTACTTCCTAGAACTGTACCTGGTACCCACCAGAGGCTGGGTCAATCTGGGAGGCAAAGTCATTTTTATTTTTTTTAAACGGCGCCCTTCTGGAACCGAGCCCACCACCTTTTGATCCACAGGCGAATGTCTAGCTGCTAAACCATTTGGCTCCCAATAGTAAAACATACAGACTGATATTCAGATGAATGCATGTGAATGAAGTCAGAATTGGAGACATGCCATGAGACAAACAGTAACTTTGTTGGAAATAAAACAGATATGACGCCATACATATTTACAAGGATAGGTGAGGGATAAAACAGTGAACAGACTAAAACAGGTGGATTAACAGACAAGAGACATAATAAACACACGCAGTTTTTGGTGATTTTTATAATAAAAACGATGGGTATGATAATAATGATACAATAAAGGTTAAGGTTAGTTGCATATCCTTTACAGGACGTTGCAGAACTAACCCCAGCAGCCCCTGGCTGTTGTGTCGTTTCTCTAGGCATCCAGTAGTTTGCCATTGCTTTAAGGACGGTCGGGCCCCTGATACCACTGTTGAAACCAACGCAAGGCGCATGGCCCGCAGCTGGGTTCGAACCCGGCACCCCGGCATTACGAATAGTTCGCATCGACTTAGCCACAGAGCCGACACAATAATATAATAATGACTGTAAAAAAGTAAAGCGACGATGAATTACAACAAATACGTATAACATTTAAAATGCTCCCTATCTTAGCTATTGACTCACGTGCAAATTCATAAAAAATACAATATTCCGGTATTTGTAGCGATCTGTATTCACATCGCCCCCGCTCTAGCTTGTTCACACTTAGAACATTCTAGAATCTGTTCATCAACGCATAAGTGGGCAGACGATTTCGATTTGAGTTCAAGATCCGTGCATTATATCTGATGGGTTATGTTGAAGATTGAGGTCGGATTGAGGGGAATTTTTCTCTGCAGGCTCGTCCTAAGGAAATCAATCAGGTAAACATTGTGCACGTTTTTGACGTAGGCCAGACTGTGAGCTGCAAATGTATGAAATTTCTACAATCAGCCATGCAAAGAAAGATCTCCTTCTTCTTCTTTGCTTATTTTTTTACCGCTTCGTGTGTCGAAGGAGATACAAAGTTCTGATTTTTTTTTTTCCTTTTCTCACCACCTCGACTATATTCATTTCGTATTTCTGTGTTTCTCTTATGGTATCTCCATCTTTTTCTTGGTCTACGTTGCGCTCTAAGTCCTTCTCCTCTTAGTGTGTATGTCTTGCATTTTATGGCTTCTCAAGGCATTCTTCATAAGTGAATTAATGACTCCACCTGCTCTGTTTGTAAGTAATGTACAAGTGGTCCTGTGCCGCCATTTTCTCTTATGATCTCATTATTGAGCAGACCTTATCATACATCTAATTTCTGATCAGATTACTTCAGCAGACCTTAACAGACATCTCATTTCTGATCCGGACACTTGAACAGACCTTATCAGACATATCACTTGAACAGACTTTATCAGACATCTCATTTCTGATCAGGTCACATGAACAGACTTTATCAGACATCTCATTTCTGATCAGGTCACATGAACAGACCTTATCAGACATATCATTTCTGATCTGGTCACTTGAACAGACCTTATCAGACATCTCATTTCTGATCTGCTCACTTGAGCAGACCTTATCAGACATCTCATTTCTAATCCGATCACTTGAGCAGACCTTATCAGACATCTCATTTCTAATCCGATCACTTGAGCAGACCTTATCAGACATCTCATTTCTGATCCAGTCACTTGAGCAGACCTTATCAGACATCTCATTTCTGATCCGCTCTCTTGAGCAGACCTTATCAGACATCTCATTTCTGATCCGCTCACTTGAATCTTAGGAATGTGAAGGATGTAAAACAGAGGCCGGGTGTGGTTGTATTAGTGTGAAAGAGAAACAGAGAGAATGAAGAAGGTACCAGAATGTATTTAACAGATTATTAGATAAGCTACTGACAAACATTGAAACAGATCGATGTATATTTTTACAGATGGCCGTAAAGACAGCCCACGAATAGACAGACTATGCGACGGGCAGGGGGGAAAGTGTGATTGACGGGCGGAGAGATGGAGCGACATATTTAAAAGGATGGATGGGGAATAATAAGTCGACAGATGGAATAGACAGACAGACAGTAAGACACGACGACCTAAAGATACATTATGATGCTATCGGTAATGAAATCCACAGTGATTCTTCTTCTTCTTTTGTTCGCCTGAAATAAGTTGTTTATATCAGCAATTTTGTCTCTTGTACAAATTTCACTGTCGTTGTAAGTTAATTCAGTGGTCCATAGAGTTTACGTTCCAGTGTTGTTCTTTCTGGTCGAAAGATTTGTCTTAATGTGTCAAAGTCGGTGCAGTCCTGGAGTACATGCTCTGCTGTTTGGGGCACTTTTCCACAGGTGAACATGGCTGATACGCCTATCTTGAATTTTGTGTACATGTGGTTACGTAATCGGTTGTGCCCTATTCTCAGGCGGAAGATAATGACTTGTTCTGGTATGTCCATAATAATATAGTCGTCTTGTGCTGGGGCTGGTGGTTTTCACGATGATGATAATGAAAAAATGATGATTGTAAATAGAAGATTGCTGATGATATCTCACAGACTCAATCAAACCCAGCAGGTTTAGAGCACCCAACTCCTGAGCGTCTCTGATATTTCCATCACAGCACTACACCAACATAAATTCTTGTTTTATGATGATGATAGTATTGGTGATGATAGTATTGGTGATGATAGTATTGGTGATGATAGTACTGGTGATGATAGTATTGGTAATGATAGTATTGGTGATGATAGTATTGGTGATGATAGTATTGGTGATGATAGTATTGGTGATGATAGTATTGGTGATGATAGTATTGGTGATGATAGTATTGGTGATGATAGTATTGGTGATGATAGTATTGGTGATGATAGTAGTCTGGTTGTAGTTTTATTGATGGTATGTGGTGACAGCAAGGTCGCAAACTCAAATTTAAGAAAATCGGCCAACATAAGCCACAAAAGGCCACACTAACCAGGAGGAAACACAGTGCTATTCTATGTGCACATCATTCGAAAAGCTCCAAATCAAGGTCACCCTTATGGTCTGCACTGACACAATTTGACAAATTATGTCACATATGAGGAGGGGCAATAAGGACGTTGCAACAGCGGTTACACAGGAGCTTGTATTTTCATATTCTCGCTATTTCCTCGAGAGGTTGCAGCAGTTTTCTAGTTCTAACTTCTGTGCCCACTGTTGATACTACTACTTCTGTTTCTTCTTCTTCTTCTTCTTCTTCTTCTTCTTCTTCTTCTTCTTCTTCTTCTTCTTCTTCTTCTTCTTCTTCTTCTTCTTCTTCTTCTTCTTCTTCTTCTTTTTCTTTTTCTTCTTCTTTTTCTTCTTCTTTTTCTTCTTCTTCTTCTTCTTCTTCTTCTTCTTCTTCTTCTTCTTCTTCTTCTTCTTCTTCTTCATCTTCTTCTTCTTCTTCTTCTTCTTCTTCTTCTTCTTCTTTTTCTTCTTTGCGTTCACCAGCTGTAAACTCTGGTGGAAACTTATGGTTTTTCATACACTTCCGGACTGCAGTCGCGTTCCAGAACCTGAGTATTGCGTGTGCATCCGTTTTACAGATCTGCCTCATTTGTATGCAGACTGCTGGTTCCTTGCCTCTCAAGCAGATGCAATCCGACTTCAAAGGACGCCCCTAATTAGTCGACTCTTATGACATGCTTTTGGGTAGGCAGTGGGTCTATTCTTCCCCCCCCCCCCCCACAATAGGCCCCAGGAACCCACACGGGGAGACTGTTATACAAGAAAGTGTGCCCTCTCAGTAATAACAAGCGTTATTTAAGACGTCAGAGCACAGGTGGCAAGCTCTTTAAATGACTCGTATTGAAAACCACCAGTCAAAACCTCTGTACCGTCCGTTGGACATCCATCTTTCTTCAACGGGACTTGAAGTTTCATAATAATACAAATTATTTCTCTGTTTTGATCATCTACTACAGTGATGTTTTCTCCCGCAATGTGCATGAATGATTGTTCTGGAAAGAAATGTCGTGAAGCTTGGTTTCAATTATCATAGGTTCACTTTTGACAAGCATTGCATTGTGTTTCTGACCGGAGGATGGCGCAGTGCAGTTTGTGGAGAGCAAAAGTTTACTAACATAGCCATCCAGTTTGCTTTTACATGTTCTACTTCCTGTCGACTATACAAGTATTTTCAGGATTCTCACCGATGCTACGGAGTTCGTGCATTGCGGTGAGATTATTCGGACTCAGGCTTGAGTAAGAAGTATAACAGAGCCCTTAAAACCTTAAATCTATGTTGTTTACATTCGTCACCTTCTGTTCAGAATTTGGCTCTATATTAAACCAGGGTTGTACTTTTTTGGCAGTATTGAACCTGTTCCAAAGAGTTGATTGTATAAGAACAATTCCTGGTACAATTGATGAAAATCAGACTGTCCTGAGTCTGTATTCTTCAGATTTTACGTGAGCAGCGATCCCACTAGCTTAAGACAACACACGATTCACCATAAACGTTTTCTGATCAACCAGAAGATCTTGTGACCCATGTAAAAGTATGTTCACAAACTCTATCGAACTTACGACTACTGGCATAAGATTGTTTCCAATTTTAGTCGCTTTAGTTTGAGATTCTTGGCGAAATTAGAGCGAAATTCCGTATGCAAAATAAAGCAAAAACAGCACTAGATAACAAGATATCAGAGTGCAGCTAGAGGCAGGAATAATGATGTAACTGACTGACTGACTTTCTACCCCACTAGGACATCACACAAGCGATAAACACCCGATGACACAGAGTGCCACCATGCGGATGAGGAT